TTGAAATCAAAACTCAAAAGTATGCTTAATTTTGAGTTAACCCGACCAAACCGCCTAACCCTATCACAAAAACTTCGAGTTAAGCTGAGTTGGCCTAATAATGAGCGAATTTTGAGTCCAATAATTCATAAAAAACAATATATCATGTTAGGACTAACACTACCCATACCCACCCCACCCTAAAACCTTTTGAGGCTTGTAGCTAATGAGTGTTCTTGGGCCAGCCACACTCTGCTTTGTGTATTTATAGTAAATGGAGATCACAGATTTACAGTTAACTAGCCACAGAGTGCAATAGGTTAAATTGGCTAATAGGTAATGTAATAGGCTAAGCTAGTCAACAAATTAATGATGTCATATAATTATTTGATTCTGCAAGCTAGCTAGCTATGCTACTCCTCCTTTACATCAAATAGAAGAAAAACTTTCATGTAGCTGATGCCACACACGTTAGTGGTATGCCAAGTTAATCACGTGTTGAAAAACTAAAGCATGTGGCAGTGTGTGATTTGTGAAATGACATCTCAGTGGGCATAGAGGCCAGAAAACCAGAACACTGAGCCGCACCAGACCGAAAAAATCAGAAAAAATACGAACAGGCACCAAATTGGATCAAATCGGTTTCAGTGCCGATTTCACGCCTTACAAAATCGAACTGGACCAGATTGGCTGTGTATTTTTTTAAAATTATTTAAGTCCAATACTAAATTTCTAATCCTATAACTAATATTTCCCCAACACCTATTTTTTCTAGGCACAATCTCTCTCTTTGCATGAAATTGGGTTTTTTGTAAATTTTTAAGTCCAAAAAATAAAATTTTAGTTGAAATTGTAAAAAAATATATATTTAAAAAAATCCGGTCCAAAACCGGAAATCGCACCAAAATCGATTTAAAATGGACCGATCGATTTCATAAATATTTTTCACCAAAATTAAACCGAACCGTACTGATTAAATAGTACCGTTTCGAATTCCGGTGTGAGGTAAAAACTAAACCGAACTGAACCGCGCCCTTCCCTAATCCCAAATGCAAAGAAGTTCTTCTCCTATCTCGTAAGGACTTGGACATAGTTTAACAACTGAGATTTATTAGAAACCTCTCAAGCATGCCTAGAAAGTGGTTTTTCCATAACAACAATTCTTGACACTGGCTCTTTAATTGCATGTAAACTGTATTTCTCCTTACAAATCAATCACAATTTGATGAGGCGTGTGGGCTGATCAAGTTGAATTGCTCATTAAGAACAGAAAAAGAAAAAAGCACATGACAAAATAAGAAAAAAAAAAACACACTTCAAATTGTAATTGGTTCGTAAAGAGAAAATAAAAAAGAAGAAAAGGAAAACACAAAAAAGGAGTGCTAAGCATCAAAATAATTCATGATGGGTAGGTGCATGAGATTTCTGTTGCACCTAAAAAATGTGACTAGAGAGAGAGGAACACCCTTTAACATGAATTTTACATATTTAAATCACAGCAAACTTAAATCTTAAAAAAAGACTTTTTGTAAACATGAAGTGAGAGAAGTGTTTGGTGGGTTATTTTGTGGCCATGGTTCTCATAATAATTACAGGAGGGCAAGTCACCCCTGAGATCGAAACACCACATTCTGCAACAATTCTTGATGTGAAGAGGGGGATTGAGGAGCGTTTGAATGTTGAGGTGGAGAGGCAGACCCTGTGGCTAGACGAAATAATGCTGCAGGACGAGGACATAGTTGGAAATTACTTCCCCCAACGATATGGTGTTTTAAGACTCAGTGTGACACCTTTGCCTGGAGAACCAAAATGCATTATTTGGGTGAGGTATAAAAACGAACATTTAGGGTTTGTGAGAATTAGAGAAACAATCATGGTGGTTGATCTGAGAAGCAAAATTGAGAGGCGTTGGGGGATTCTGAGTAACATGACTTTGTTCCATCTTGATACGGAAATGATCGATGACCGTCCTCTTTCTGCGTATTATATAACAGAGAATTCTGTAGTTGAAATTAAAATTGAGATTGCACCTCGTTAATTGAGGTATTTTAAGATGATATGGTGATAGATAATAATAAGTCTTTGGTTTTTTTGGTTAGAAGGAAGCTTGATATAATATGGAGAAGTTCAAAAATAGATAAAATCTTTATGCGATACAAATATTGAATTGCTAAAAGTAGTTTTTTCTTTTCTTTCTTTTCCAATCCAATTGGAAAAAATTATTAGAAACCAAAAAAAAATAGACATGCTCTGCCTCTGCAGATAGGCAAAGCCTCCTCTACACCGAAAGCCTCCTCTGCAACTCAGAATTTTGTTCAAGACTTTCCGACCCGTGTCTTGACCATAGTTTGACGCAGGAGTGTCTTGAACGTCCAAGGCGTTGACTGTGTCCAACGAGTGTCCCAGGCATGTCCATGCCATGTCCGAGTGTCGGAGGACACGCGGACATTCCACCTTATTGCAGTGTTCGTGCAACATAGTTTTTTTTTATAAAGGGAGATTCACTATTATACCCAATATAGGAGCCCAAATTATAAAAATATCCTATATGAAATGAATTTTAAAAACACACCAAAAGCCCATTTATAAAATAACAAAAAGGCTTTTAACTTCTTTTAAAGTACAAAACTGCCATTGATTTCTTAAAACAAACCCAACCCTAAAACCTCATAAAAAAGCCTAAAACACTCAATAGGGCATCAAAGTAATTTAATAATCAAAATTAAATTCAATAGGGACAGCTATCATTTTTTGGGTTTGTTTATAGAAATTAATTTGTTTACGGTTTATTTATAGTTTTAGTGCTAAGAATGGGTATATGACTAAATATCTCTTTTATAAAATCCTTATATGAAAGTTGTAGGATTTGAGAATGTTTAAAATACATATATAGCAGGACCTCTTGTTCCATTCCTATGACCACGTCTAATAGTTTGTTTGAAAAATATGCGACACAAGTATTCTTTTGACTGAAACTGCTACTTTCAACTTAAAATAATCTATTTGTATTGAATTATTTGATACAAGAGGTTTTATAATACATGTGAGGAAACAAAGTTCCGAGAAACATTGACTTATGTAGGCCTCATCATTTGGCCCGTGGACTCATGGGCCTATGGGGGCCCGCCCGGCCCATCGAAAAAAAGCCCGGCCCGCCCGCTTGGGCTTGGGCTTAGATGTTTGAAGCCCGGCCCAGCCCGATTAAGCCCATGAAAGCCTGGTCCGGCCCGCCCACAAAAGCCCGGCCCGTTAGGCTCGCATACATATATAATTATGTATAAATAAGGGTTTAGGATTAGGATTACATCACTTGAATGACAAATCCCCCTCTTTCATTTTTTTGTGTGTGTGTTACTTGTTTGAAAAATTGTGTTTCTATTGAATTCTACTCATTCCTAGTTTATAATTGGATGATTAGCACATTAATTTGTGTCATTTATTAATACAACAATTATATATATATATATAAAATAAGACGAACAATATATCATATCTCCAAACATAATCATATCACTAAATATAATCATACTTTTCTTTAACATATCACCAAACATTTGCATATTTATTCATACCATTCTTATAAAAAAAATAATTTTTTTTTACACTTATTATTTTTTAGGCCCATTTCGGCCCAGCCCGGCCCGATGGGCTTGGGCTTTGAATTTTCTAAAAAAGCCCAGCCCGGCCCGGCCCAACCCAAGCCCATTAAATTTGGGCTAGCCTAGCCCAACCCGGCCCATTGACGAGCCCTAGACTTATGCACCAAACAAGAATCAATCAAGCTCCTTAATACATGGGAACTGCATAAAAGAACTTGGGAGAATGCAATTTGCCTGGAATGCTGCCTTCAGTGATAATGACTCATTTTACTTCATGCTTTAACAAAAGTCATCTGGTTGAACTGTTAATGGGTTTGAACCATTTACCCCGCAACTCAAATTGACTTGGAAGTTTTTGCATAATTTCGAACTATCTAGAGTATGAAAGCTCAACCATCTGAATTCTCATTGACTCCTATATACAGGGCATCTCTATTTCATCCCATTGCATATGAATCATGGGTCACTGCAGTGCTTCCATCCAACTTGTCTTACTAATTATACTATCAGGAATTTTATCCCTTAAAACCATTCAACTTGGTTTCTGCAGTGTTGATCATAATGTGGGATGCATAGATATAGATAGGGCTCATCAATGGGCCGGGCCGGGCTTTAAAGAGGGGGGAGAAAATATCGGGCCGGGTCGGGCCGGGCCTTTTTAGAAAATTCCAAGCCCAAGCCCATCTCATGGGCCGGGCCGAAATGGGCCAAAAAAATAATAAGTGTAAAAAAAATTTATTTATTTTTATAAGAATAGTATGAATAAATATGCAAATGTTTGGTGGTGTAAAAGAAAAGTATGATTATATTTGGTGGTATGATTATGTTTGGTGATATGATATGTTGTTCGTCTTATTATATATATTTATATAATTGTTGTATTAATAAATGACACAAATTAATGTGGTAATCATCCAATTATAAACTAGGAATGAGTAGAATTCAATAGAAACACAATTTTTCAAACAAGTAACACACACACACACACAAAAATGAAAGAGGGGGATTTGTCATTCAAGTGATGTAATCCTAATCCTAAACCCTTATTTATACATAATTATATATGTATGCGGGCCTAACGGGCTGGGCTTTTGTGGGCGGGCCGGACCAGGCTTTCATGGGCTTAATCGGGCCAGGCCGGGCTTCAAACACCCAAGCCCAAGCCTTGCCCAACCCAAGCGGGCCGGGCCCTCTCAAAGCCCATAACGGGCCGGGCCGGGCTTTTTTTCGATGGGCCGGGCGGGCCCTCATAGGCCCATGAGCCCGTGGGCCAAATGATGAGGCCTAGATATAGAGAGGAAAGCCGTTCTCAAGCTCAAACAAGGCCTCACAGATCCTTCCAACCGACTTTTGTCTTGGGTGGGAGAAGATTGCTGCAAATGGAGTGGTGTAGGCTGCAACAACATAACTGGACGTGTCAACATGCTCGATCTTCGCAATCGCGATGGGTATGCTGACAAAGCAACAGATCACGCATTTGGTGATGAGATCAACCCTTCTTTGCTTGTTTTGAAATATTTGGTTTACTTGGATTTGAGCATGAATAACTTTGGAGGTGTCCAACTTCCAAATTTCTTTTGATCACTAGAGAAACTCAAATACCTCAATCTCTCTAGTGCATCTTTTGGTGGAATCATTCCCCACAATCTTGGAAACCTCTTAGGGTTGCTTTATCTTGATCCTAGTAATAACGTTGTTGAACCAATTGAGAATGACCTTCATTGGCTTGCAACTCTTTCTTCCTTAAAATACCTTAACTTGGAAGGAGTGAACCTTGCTAAGACTACATCCTATTGGCTTCCCACTGTTAATATGCTCCCTTCATTTGTTGAATTGCATTTGCCCTCTTGTAGACTTCCCATGCTACCTCTCACTCTTCCTTCCATCAATTTCACATCCCTTTTAGTTCTTGATCTCTCTGACAATAAATTCACCTCCACGATACCTCCTTGGTTGTTCAATCTCACTGAACTAGAGATGTTGGATTTGACAGATAACAATCTAACAGGAAAACTGCCTGATTCTTTGGGATATCTTAAAAGCTTGAGATACCTCGACTTGTCGTATAACTCATTTCAGGGTTCAATCCCAAAATCAATTGGAAATTTAACATCTTTGGAGGAGTTTGACCTTGCATGGAATCAAATGAGTGGGATCATCCCAGAAAGTCTTGGGAAGCTCTCATCGCTGGTTTCACTTGATATCTATGGCAACCAACACATGGGAAGGTGCCATTATAGAAGCTCATTTCGCGAAACTTGGAGGCCTGAGAAGAGTATCGATTGTGTTTACACCCAAAATGAACATCCAATGAGAACAAGACACGTGGAAGAAATCGTGCCTGGTCAGAGATGCCTTCGACATCCTACCTCCCGATCGTTCCATTAGGGCAACGCCCTCTCCTGGGACACGTGGCATGCTCCAAAGCGACATCCACAGTCCCACATCGAAATTATCAACAAAATGCACACCTCCCAATGCCTATAAAAGAAGCCAACCATCCCAAAATAGAGGTAATCAGAACTTACGGCATACAAGCCTATTGATCTGTCAGTTGAACTTTCTAAATCCCGAACTTACTCAAGCATCGGAAAGCCTTCGGCCGGTACCACACCGGTGCCTTGGATCTTACCGTGCGTTTGCTCATATTGCAAATCACGCTCCCTACCGAGGCATTGAGGATACCGAAGGTATAAAATTACTAAGTTGACCCTCTAAGTCAGAGAACCACTTTTTGGCGCCAACAGTTTGGCGCCATCTGTGGGGAACGATAAACAAATCGACCCTTTATCCCAAACATATGGGGACCAACTCGAAAACTACGTTCCTACCGCAGGAGGGGTTGTCATACGGTATGCCGGGCGGAGCTAGCCCGGCGCCCCCATACACCCCGGCAACTAATCCACCTGTACTCCGACCCGCTGAAAACACGGAGCTTTTAGCCCAAGTCGTGTCCCTTCGGCAGGACATGGCTAGGTTACAAGAACACAACAATTTCCTCTCATCCAAGGTGGACGAAACACAACAGCTGCTGAACCAGCAGCAAACGCAAAACATCCAGACCGATCGATCCTCCGAGAGCCTACAGACTCGCCGTCGGCAGAGGAAGGGTAAAAAAGTGGCCGAGGCTGCGCCTGCACCATCTAAACCCTTGGTAGTCCCGGCACCAAAAAATAAGCCTTATGTGCCGAAGAAAGTCTATTCCGATTGTCGCCATAGGCTATTGGATTGGGAGGCCGAACGACAAACCGAGCGACAGGGGTCGCCGATCAGGATAAAGGCGCGCCTGGATGACCCCCGGCTGAGAAGTCTGGGAAGGAGGTCGCCGATACGGAGGATACAAGTCTTGGAGTCAACGGCAGAGTCCGACCAAGAATATGCCCCTTCCACGAATCGGACATCATCCTACCGTTCGGCAACGCCAACAAAGTTCTCTGAGGTTAACCCTGTCAGATCCCAGCAGCGGTCAGTGCATCAAAACGCTGAGGAGATACCGGACAGGGACCCTGTCATTCGCCTTCTCCTTTAGAGGGTACAGAAAATGGAGGACGATCGAACTCGCTCGCTAGAGCCTGACTGGGGAAGGCTTCGGCCAGGACCCTTCACCGAGCGCATAAGGCACTCACGGTAGGATAGGGATGTACAGCCCCTACGCATTACCGCTTACACAGGAGTGGAAGACCCCCTGACGCACCTCCACTCTTTCCAATCAGCTGTAGGGTGCCGAGGGCTAAGCGACGAAGGACTGTGCCTACTGTTCCCATCTTCGCT